TCTTTTGTTTTTTTTTTTTAAAGATTTTATTTATTTATTTGATAGAGAGATCACAAGCAGGCAGAGAGGCAGGCAGAGAGAGAGGAGGAAGCAGGCTCCCTGCCGAGCAGAGAGCCCGACGCAGGGCTCGATCCCAGGACTCCGAGATCATGACCCGAGCCGAAGGCAGCGGCTTAACCCACTGAGCCACCCAGGCGCCCCTGTTCAGCTCTTTTGAACTGTCTGTTCATGTACCAGCTCCACACTATTTTAACTATTGCGAATAATCTACCCACATTACTTTCTTTTTCTAGAACTTGCCTCGTTCTAGATATCCTTGCTTCTAAGGCAACTTCATACGATCCATAGAATCGGCTTATCCACTGCCGTGTATATCCTCCTTGGACTGTCTGTACACGATCATCTCTGATCTGAAGTCTGTGTCGCTTTCCTGTCCCCATGGACGACCTTAGCAGATTGACCTGCTGCTGCTTTGCCATCCGTCTCCACCAGCTTTTAGATTTTGTTGTCCTTGAGTTGCAAATAACTCTCCTTATAATTCTCCCATATCTATGTACGACTCGCTCATTAAGTAGGTGCTACATGGTAGGGAACAATCAAGAAACAGCTTTCTTTGTCTCCCTCCAACCGTCCAAACACACACCTGCTTCAGGCTCTCTTCCCCACACAGCTGGAGAGTGTCTTGGGTTTGCTGAGAACTAAGTGGTCCTTTAAGTTTTGCGCACGGTCTCCTCTTAAGCTGTGACATGCCCAGGCCAGCCGGAACCCAAACCTCGACTCCTAAGCATTGGGACCGTTCCCTGCCCGCCCTGTTCTGCTCACTGGGGGCGGGGCAGGGGGGGCTACGCTGGGTGACATGGCTCCCCGTCCCCTTGCTGTGTTTCTCTTTGTCTCCAGGGCTGAAGTGAAGGAGGGAGAGAAATAAAGGGGAGGGGCCCACGGTCATACATGACTGGGGACTGGCGCTGTTGTGGGGTCTGGATGATCTTCAAGGCGGGCTTCCAAACACTGGCTCTTCCGTGGGGTCTGCTGCTGGTGCCTCCAAGACCCCATGGTACGCACCCGCACCAGCGGCCCTCAGGAGGAGGAGGCGGCCCTCCCTGGGACTGTCACCCCCAGCTCTGCCCACTCCTCCCCTGCAGGGTCATCCCTACAAGTCTCAAGCCTGAGCAGGAGTGTGTAAACCTACACGGACCCTTAAGCTTTTTAGGCACCGCTCCCATGGCTGATGCCGCTACCACTGCGGAAGCTCACTCCTTCCATGAAGCCCTCCAGGCTTGCAGGTTCTCTGACATCCCTGCCCCCAGAGGCAGCCTAACCCCACGATACCCAGGGCAGCTCCAGTCCCGGATCTCTGCTTCTAGCCTTTTCCTGCCAATAAAGGCATGTTGGCTCTCAAATTTCCCAGGACGCATCCAGAGTGTTCTCTTAAGGTCTCCCCGGCGCCACTCAGAGGGAACCTCAGGGTGGGCCCCGGAGTCCCTGGGGTTCAGCTGCCACTCAACCCGGTGGTGGGAAACGCCCAAGGGAAAAAAGCCAAGCCCGAAAGGTTAATACTGCAGGATTGCACTTATATAACCTTGGCAAGGTGACATGATTAGCCTGCAGAGAATGGACGGTCACCCCCCCAGGGTGGAGTCCTGCGGGAGAAGGACTCAGTTGCTCTGACCGAGCTGCATCCTGAATCCCGTCATAGCTACTTCATCTACACAGGTGGTAACATTTCTAGAACTCTCCACCAAAGACAAATCAAAGAATGCATTTAAAACTGGAGAAACCGGGGCCCCTGGGGGGCTCAGTCAATTGAGCGCCTGCCTTCAACTCAGGTCCTGATCCCCAGTGTCCTGGATCGAGTCCACATCGGGCTCCCTGCTCAGCCTGTTTCTCCCTCTCCCGCTGCTGCTCCCCTTGCTTGTGCTCCCACTCTCTCTATCTCTCTAATAAATAAAATATTTAAAAAATAAAAACAAAACTGGTGAAAACCCCTCGAAAGTCCTGTGGTTTGGTTAATAGTATTGTACCCGTGTCAATGTTCCGGTTTTGAGAATTCTACTACCGTCCCATAGGATGTCGTCATCGGGGGAGGGGAGGAGGTACAAAAGAACTCTTTTTACTATTTTTGCAATTTTTCCTTTTTTCTTTTAAGATTTTATTTATCTATCGACAGAGAGAGAGAGAGAGAGAGAGATGGAACACACAAGAAGGGGAAGCAGCAGACAGAGGGAGAAGCAAACTCCGGGACTCGATCCCAGGACCCTGAGACCATGACCTGAGCTGAAGGCAGAGGCTTAACCCACTGAGCCTCCCAGGGGCCCTATTTTTGCAACTTCTATGTGAATCTAAAATTATTTCAAAATAAAACTTTGATTCAAAAAAGAGAGAGAGAGAGAGAACCCTAGTGGGGTTTGACTTGAAATGGCATTAAAATTACTGGGAGAACCAACGTTTTGATGAAACTGAGTCTTCCCACTCCAGTGGCAGGCATGACTGTCCATGCGTTTGGGTCTTGCTTTCTGTCATTCAGTCAGTGTCAAGGTTTTCTTCAAAGACGTCCAATGTCTATATTTCAGTTTTTGAAACTATTGTGGGTAAAATAGATTCCCGTTTTCATGTTAATAGGTTCGTGTCATGGGACTGGTTTTTTCCATACATTTGTTTTTCTGTTTTTCTTCTCGAAGACCATCACCCCAACGTGGTCCCTCCAGTCCAACAACCAGATCTTCCTTCCCCCTCCCTCTTATCCATGCTCATTTCCCGCCTGTCCCTTTGCATTCCGCTCTCCCCCGAAGTCCATACTCCCTACCTCGGCCATGCTTTATGTTTATGGTATTTATTTCTGTTTTTAAAGATTTTATTTGTTTATTTGACAGACAGAGATCACAAGCAGGCAGAGACACAGGTAGTGACAGACAGAAGCAGGCTCCTCGCTGAGCAGAGAGCCCAAAGGTGGGCTCAATCCCAGGACCCTGAAATCATGACCTGAGCCAAAGGCAGAGGCTTTAACCCACTGAGCCACCCGGGCGCCCTTGAAGTAAGACTTCTTTCAAATGTAACTTCTGCCTCTAGTTTTCCATCAGTTCCACGGTGGTTTTTGCCTTGAGCCCCTGCTAGTCAGGGTGGTTGGTTATATAGTAATCGCCAACCAACACACCTTACCGGCTTTTCATGACAGCTCTCGGCTCTGCCTTTCCTTATCACCCTAAGTGTACACAGCTCTTAACCGACAGAAAAGAACTGAACTCAAATGCTTGTAAAAAGGAAATGTTCCTTTCACAGTTACAGAAGACTGTCCGAGGCCTCACTCAGCCTTCTCCATTCTGCTGTGTTAAGATTGCTGAAAATCAGGCCATGTGAGCTACAAAAGGTTTCACAAAAGAGCATATAGTGTGAAAATCTAGAACAGGCAAAACCAATCAATAGCGAAAGAAAGCGGGTCATTCACTGGCTGCCTGGGGACAGGAAGCAGTAGACAACGAAGGGACATAAGGCAACTTTGGGCAGATGGAAACGTTCTGTATCTAGATTGGGCAGGAGTTACATAGATACTCACATTTGTCAAAAGTCATCTCTACTCTTTAAATGGGTATATTTGGGGTGCCTGGTGGCTCGGTCAGTTAAGCGGCTGCCTTCAGCTCGGGTCATGATCTTGGGGTCCTGGGATCAAGCCCCGCATCAGGCTCTCTTCTCAGCGGGGAGCCTACTTCTTGCTCTCCCTCTGCCTGCCTCTCTGCCTACTTGTACTCTCTATCTCCGTGTCAAATAAAAAAAACATTTTTTAAAAAATGGGTGTATTTGGGGCGCCTGGGTGGCTCAGTGGGTGAAACCTCTGCCTTCGGCTCAGGTCATGATCTCAGGGTCCTGAGATCGAGCCCCACATCGGGCTCTCTGCTCGGCAGGGAGTCTGCTTCCCCCTCTTTCTCTGCCTGCCTCTCTGCCTATTTGTGATCTCTCTCTCTGTCAAATAAATAAATAAAATCTTTTTTTAAATGGGTGTATTTATATTTATATTATATATTAATTTATGTAGGAATTAGATGGCAATAAAATTGTTTTTAAGATTAAAAAAAAATTACAATCCTCATGCACCGTTGGTGGGAACGCAAACTGGTGCAGCCACTCTGGAAAATAGTAAGAAGGTTCCACAAAAAATGAAACATAGAACTACCACGTGATCTGGCCACGCCATTTCAGGGCATGCAGGCAAAGGAAATGAAAACAGAGTATCAAAAAGGTATTTGCCCTTCCATATCCATTGTAACACTAATTCACAACAACCAAGATGTGGAAACAGTCGAAATGTCCCGCAGTGGATGCCTGGATAAGGGTGTGTGCTGTGTACACAACACAGCCGTGTCCAGCCACAAGAAACAGGGGAATTCTATGCTTTGCAACAATAGGACCAGGGCATCATGTGGAGCGGATGAGCCAGAGAAAGACAAATACTGCACTGTAGGATTTATATGTGAATTGGAAAAAAGGAGTCAAATTCATAGAAAGAGAGAGTAGGTTGGTAGGGCCGGGGAGTGGGGAGATCGGGAGAGGCAGGTGAAGGGATGCCAGCTTGCAGCTGTTGGTTGAATAAGGTCTGATGGTGTTACGGTGATGACAGGTGACATATCGTATAACTGGAATTTACCAAGGGAGCAGAACTTACGTGTTCACACGCGCACACGAGACAAACATGTGAGGTTATTAACTGGATGGGGGACCCCTTCCCAGGGTATATGTTTACCAAATCACAATGATGGACACCTCAAATGTCTTAAAATTTTATATGTCAATGACACCTCGATGGGCCAGACGTTAAAAAGGCCAACCCTTGAGGAACTCTAGAGAGTCTTTTGAACGCCAAGGAGAAGAACATTGTGGTGGCAGCAGCCCAACCTCCACGGGCTTGGTCCTCTCCCCACCGCCGGGTGAGGGTGTCAGGGAAGGCCCCTCCCGCTCCCTGCGCGTTGGCAACCAGGACCCGGAGGTCTGCAGGAGGTACCCCCGAGGCGCTAGCTGGCCGCGCCCAGGCTGGTCTCGCACACCCAGCCAAAGACCCTCTGGCAGGCGTTGTCATTCCACTTGCCGTCGTCGTCGTCAGCTTTGAAGTGCGCACAGTCCTCGCCCCCGCCCAGTCCGTGCCCGTCCCAGTTGTCCGGCTGGTCTGGCTTCCAGTTCCTGTGGGGAGAAGACCGCAGCCAGCTGGGACGGTCCGAGGGCACCCCGGGGAGGGGGGGCCAGGAACGAGGGGCTGAGAGCCAGACCCTGCAGGAGCAAGAGCTCCAGGCGGGAGAAGGGGACAGGCAGCCAGGGCGCGCTCACTTGAAGTTGGTCTCGTAGTCCGTCCCGTCCACCCATTTCCAGGCTCCGTCAGCGTCAGTGAGTCCCATCCACGTGTGTGAGCTGATGTGCTCCTGCACAAAAGTCTGGGGCGACAGAAAGCCAAGGGTGAGGTCTCCCCAGCTCAGCCAGCTCCTTGCGCTTGACATGTCCCCTCCATCTGCTGAGGCTGGGGCTGTTTCCTCCAATAACCCGCCATGAACCCTCCGAGGGTGGCTCAGCAGGCGGGGGGGGGGGGCGGGTGTCAAGCCCCCCAGGTGATTCTGCCCTGAAGCGAGGTTGAGAACCGCTTCCTTAAATGGGACACGTCCTGGGACCCTCGCCTCTGCGGCACTCACCTGCTCGGCTCTGGAGTTGACGACCACCAGGTGCGCGCTCTCCTGCTGGCAGTACAGGTCCGCGTCCGCCCACATCTTCTGGGAGGAGCCGGAGAACCAGTAGCAGCTGCCCTCGTGCTCCAGCCAGTTCGGGGGGCAGCAGGTATTTTGAGAGCCTGCAGGGCCAGGGGAAGGGAGGGTCTGAGACGCCGCGCCGGGAGGGACGAGCAGGAGATGGGGCCCAGCCCACGCGCACACCCTCACCCCCCTCACCGTTGCTCTGGAGAGCGACGATCTGGCAAGTCAGGGATCTCACGTCTCTGGCCAGCTGCTGCACCCGAAGGAGCGTATCAGAATGACCTGGGACACACACAGGTGCGCGGTGGGGGCAGTGCCTGCGGCTCAGCGAGTCCCTGGTAGCCCGATGGCCCTGCCCGGGTCCCGCCCCAGAACCGCCCCCCCCCGTGCCCTCCCACGCACAACACGCCCCGCCCCGGTGGAGGGGAGCGGGGTGGGGGTTGCTGACCTGCTTTGAGCTCCTGCTGCTCCTTCTCGATCTTGCTCTCCAGGGAGAACACCTTGTCGTTCAAGCTGCGGGCTGGAGGGGCGGGCACTCAGGACCCCGCAGCTGCCCCCACCCCCGCCTCGGTTCGAAGAACCCCCGGGCTCCTTCCGCGCCCCGCGTGGGTTCCTGAAGGAGCTCACCTGCCTGCACCTCCTGCTTCTGATTTTCCACCTCGGCTTTCAGAGAAGTTATCACTTCTTGTATTTTGCCTCCTGTAGGACAGGGGGACTTGGTGGGTGCTCGGGACTCGGTGCCGCCTCCCCCACAGCCCCCCAGTCCCTAGCCACTCCCCGGCGGAGCTCACCCTGGGATCTCAGCGCCTGGACCTCGGCCGCAGTGTTCGCAGTGAAGTTGTTGAAAGTTGCTCTCAGGGTCGCCAGGTCCCTCTGAAACCTGGAATCTGAGCAGGGAGGGGACAAGCAGGGCTGAGATTTACGGCCCTTTTAAGAGAGCTGGCGCTGAGCTGGGCACCTGACATGGCTTGACTCCCTGCGTCCTCACGTGACCCAACCCGAGGGGACAGGCAGTATCCTTATCCAGAAACCCAGATGAGGAAGCAAAGTTCGGAGAGGTCAGGCCATTTGGCTAGGTTATCCAGCCCATAAGTGACCGAGCCAGCAGCCACCCTACAGGCCACGGTCCCTCACAGCCACCCACCTGCCCCAGCGCCCCATGCGTTCTCTCCTCCCTCCCCACCCTTAGACCCTCACTCTGGGATCCGAGCACACAGATGCCGACCAGCAGGAGGAGGCTGAGGCCCAGGGAGCACAGCAGAGGCCGCGGCCCAGGGCACAGCTGCTTCAGGAAGGGCCGAGGCGGAGGCAGCCCTGTGAGAGGAGAGGGCGTCAGGGCAGGAGACTGGGGGGAGGAAAGAGCCCCAGGGACCCGTCGGGGAGGTGGGCTGGTGCAGGTGACGCTGGTGGGAGGCTGCCCCGGGTTGCTGTGGGGCAGGGGACACCCAGGCCTCTGGCCATTCCTGGACCAGCACAAGTCCTCAGTCACACGCCCACAGGGACACTCATACACAAGGACCCACAGATGGGGGATGATGGTGACACTCAAGGTCCCATCACAGTTGGGGGAGGGGACAAAAGGACCCAGACGGAGCTGAGGCAGCCAGGCCCTCGAAGGCTCAACTCATCTGCAGGGTCAGGGTCACAGGTGAGGTTTCCTTCCAAACCCCGATGCTCTTCCCCCAGAGTATAAGAACCCAGGCCCCCTGTGGCTCTCCCTGTCCCTGTCCTCGTCTTTCTCAAGACCTTGAATCCTCTTCACCCTGGGGTCCCCAAGGCTGGGGCCGGGCCCCCTCCGATAGGAGACCCTCCAACTGCGCACAGTAGGGGCACAGATGAGACATCACAGCAGGAATCCTCCGCACGATGGGGGGCAGTTTAAGGCAGGAACATTTTCCCCTTCCGCTTACCATTTCCAGGCCTTTGGCTCTGCTTCTCGCACTCTGAGTGCTGGAATTTTTCGTACTGTGACGACATGCTGGGACGGAGACTGGGGCCGGCGGAGCCGAAAGGCAGGACCAGGGGCCAGGCAGAGGTAGAGGCCGGACCTGCCGGGGGGGCTGGGACTTGGAGTTGAGGTTCGGACGGAACCAAGGAGGAGCCCAGGCTGGAGAGAGGCTTGGGGGTGGTTCTGGGTGTACAGGTGAGGTTGGGAGTGGGGTCAGAGCCAGGCACTGGGCAGGGGGCGGGTCGAGCAGAGGATTGAAGGTGGAGGTAAAACCTCCGGTCCTGGCCCCAAGGGACATCTGCTGGGGTGTGCCGGGGGTTCCTGTGGGAGCCGTGGGTGTGCTGGGCTAGGCCTAGCTCTGAAACCAGAAACCGAGTCTAGGGTCGACTTCGGGTTGGGGCTGCTGCGAAGATTCAAGCTGACTTTGGGGTCAGAGCTGTGGTTGGGCTTAAGGGGGAGCTGCGTGAGTATCAGGGTCAGGGCTCCAGCTGGGCTGGGGCTGGAACGAGGCTGAATCCAAGTCTCGGCTTGTGAGTGAGGCTGGGCCACCCCGTTCCAAGCCCAGTGCAGGGAAGGGAGTGGAGGCTGACGTCCACACTTGGCCATTCAGTCCCTGGGCTGCCCCTTACCTCCCCTAAGCACCCAGCCCCGTTACCTGTGGAATGTCTGAAGCCTGCACTCCTTGTGCAGCAGTGACCCAAGTTGGAAAAACACGAAATCCTAGAGAGTGGAGGTCGTGGGGGTAGTGAGGGAGGAGTCCTCTAAGGGACCTGAGCCCAGCAGGTTCTATGCTGGGTTCTGGTGTGTCCCAGTCTTCAGGCAGTGAGTGGAGGAAGGATTGGAGGGGAACTCAGGGAGATTGCGTGAGGTGGGAGGTAGATATGGGGCAGCTCTGGCTCTCCTCCTCCGGGGTGTATCTACTCCATTTCCGCTCCTCTGGAGCCCCCTGACTTCCTCATTTTTACCATTCCGGAGAAGGGAGCCAGGCCAGAGGGACCAGAGGTGCAGTCTGCCTATCTCCTCCGCCCACACCCCCTTTCACTTCCTGCCTCCCAAGTTCCCAGAACTGTGTCCCCAGCACCGCACAGCTGGGTCCAGAGGAGCCCATTTCTCACCTCTTGCCCAATCCCACTGAGTCCTGGCTCAGGAGCTTCCTCTGGAGCCTCGGCCGCTGCGCTCCGAGCAGGAGGGAAGAGGAGATGGCAGAGTGGGGTTTCCTGGCGGGGAAAGGGAGGGAGGATCCAGGAGAGGAAAAAGGTACTGATCAAAAACTAACTAACAAGGGGGCACCTGGGTGGCTCAGTGGGTTAAGTCTCTGCCTTTGGCTCAGGTCATGATCTCAGGGTCCTGGGATCGAGCCCCGCATCGGGCTCTCTGCCCAGCAGGGAGCCTGCCTGCCTGCCTCTCTGTCTGCTTGTGACCTCTCTCTCTCTGTCAAAAAAAATAAATAAATAAAATCTTTAAAAAAAAAAAAAAAAACTAACTAACAGGGATGGGGCCGGACCCGTGCTAGACATTCAGCATTTGGTTCCCACAAGAATCTTGCAAGGCACAGTGGCCCGGGGTGAGGCTTGGACCGGGGGTGTGGGCTGCCCAAGGTCATGGGCTTGCTGAGCACGAGGGCCAGAATTCAAGTCCCAAGCTCCGCACTCCCTGACACCCTGGGCTGCCGCTCGGTATGCGAACGATCTGCAAGAAAGGGACTCACTCCACTCCCATGACCTGTAAATCTCATGAAGGGGGCTGCCCCGACTTCACACTCAAAATCTTCTCCATAGGAAGGAGCTTTAGTGTCTTAAAAGCTAGAGAAGGGGGGCGCCTGGGTGGCTCAGTGGGTTGAGCCCCTGCCTTCAGCTCAGGTCATGATCCCAGAGTCCTGGAATCGAGTCCCGCATAGGGCTCTCTGCTCAGCAGGGAGCCTGCTTCCCCCTTTCTCTCTGCCTGCCTCTCTGCCTACTTGTGATCTCTCTCTCTCTGTCAAATAAATAAATAAAATCTTTTAAAAAAGAAAAAGGTAGGGGCGCCTGGGTGGCTCAGTGGGTTAAGCTGCTGCCTTCGGCTCAGGTCATGATCTCGGAGTCCTGGGATCGAGCCCCGCATCGGGCTCTCTGCTCAGCGGGGAGCCTGCTTCCTCCTCCCTCTCTGCCTGCTTGTGATCTCTCTCTGTCAAATAAATAAATAAAATCTTTAAAAAAAAAAAAAAGAAAGAAAAAGGTAGAGAAGGGAAGCAAATGAACCTCACACTACATTTTCTATATAAGTGAGATTGCGTTCTACTTGCTTTTTTTTTAAAGATGTTATTTATTTGAGAGAGAGCAGGGAGAGGGGCAGGAGGAGAAGCAGACTCCCTGCCGACCAGGGAGCCGGACCCAGGACTCCATCCGGGGGGCTCCGGGATCATGACCTGAGCTGATGGCAGACGCTTCACCGACTGAGCCGCCCGGGCACCACTACTTGCTTTTTATTATTTGGTATTCGGGTCGGTATTTGTCACAGGTTGGGTTTTTGGAAGCCAAGGCTGAGACTGAATTTGGAGGGTGAGCTATGTTTTTAATGACCAACACCAGAGAGAGGAAGGGGGAAGAAGGAGGAGGGGACAAGGGGGGAAAGTGCACAGCTGTGCAGCCTACACAGCAGGCACTCTGGGCAATCAATCTGGCCATCTGTCCCAGCTGCCGGCCTCGGGCTGAGCCGGGACCTTCACACCCCACCTGGCTCAGGCACCAGGCACCCCCCACCCCGCCACCCCAGCAGGGGCCTGACCTCCGGGGAAGCGACTGTCTGCACAGTTCACACTCCCTGCAACTGGGCCCCCAGTCCTTCTTGGAAGGAGGTGGAGGATGTAGGGAGCTCATGTCTGTGTCCCCGACAGCGGTGCATTGTACCTGTGCAGTCATCGGGACAGACTTCACATCTGCGAGTTGTTGGATCTGTCCCACAGAGAACGTGCCTTTACTCATCCATTCCAAAAGCACTTCCCAAGCATCTCCAATATGCCAGGCGCCCTCCTTCCAAGACGCATACTTCAGAAGGGAACAGACAGACAGAAAAGGCCAGGCCCTCCCAGAATTTACATCCCGGCAGGTGACAGACAAAATAAATGAGTGAAATCTATATAATGTCACACGGTAGATGTTGGAATTGTCACATGGTGACATATGGAAGAAAATACAGCTGGGAAGTGAGGTGGGATCTGTTTTTAACAAGGCCATCAAGAGTAAGGTATCAGGGTCAGCCTTACTGGGAAGGTGATGTCCAAGCAAAAGTCACAAGGACATGAGGGAGCGAGTTGTAAGGAGCTCCGGGAGGAAGATGATTCGAGACAGAAGGCACAGCCAGTGCAAAGGGCCTGGGGTGGTAGAATGTCTAGCGTGTACAAGGATCATCCCTTTGCCAGAGATGCCAGAGATTTTATTGGAGAAGTGAGCCAGAATGGCAAGGAGAGATGATCACGGGGAAAGCATGGAGCACCAGTTCTCCAGGGCCCTCAGACTATTGTTAAGGATCTGTTTTTACTCTGAGTTAGAGGGGCAGACTGCGGAGGGGATCGGAGCAGAGGAGGGAATGAACAAGATGAGGGTGGAAACTGAGAGTCCCAGTAAGGAGCTGTTATATCCGGGTGACAGATATGCCCGGGGACAGACGGACACACACACACACACACACACACACGCATGCACAATAGTTCTCCTTCCAGTCCCCCCAAAAAAGTAAACTTTGAGCATTTTCCATAAATTGCTGACTCCTTAGGAAAGAAAACGGCTTTATCCCTGACTTTTGTAATGCCAACGCCTGAAGATAAGTCACAGCATTTTGCGCACGTGATAATTGTGAGGACAGTGCTGTTTTGTCATCAGGAGCTGACGGATAAAATACTTGATCACCGCGCAGTTTTCCTCTGAACACCTGCTGTGGTCCCCCACCCCCACTCCGCTAAGCCTGTCCTCCCAAAGGCTGATTGCCTCACGGCTACTTTGCCAGTAACCTTCTTTGCTCTCCTAAATGCTTTTGCCTCTGAGACTTCTTTCTCAGTGGACGGGCACGGCTTCCCTGTGGAGCCTTAGCCCTCTCCCAGCCCCTCAGCTGGGCAGGATCCTTTTACCTGGTGCAGGGACTCAGAACGTCATGTCCACAGCATCCAAGTCCTTCGCGGTCCTGTCTTACCGGGTCACCATGATTTGCTACCCACCATTTCATGATCACGCAGGGGAGCTCTGCAGCTCCCCAGACACCCTCCTGGGCTACAGGCTCCATCCTCTCCCCTCCCCATTGCCAAGCAGCACAGCCATGTCCCTCCTTAGCCAGAATCCGTCAGTCACCTCCAAGGCACAGTTACCTCCACCCCCTACCTACTGGTGGTTTTGAGGAGCCCAAATCAGGCAGGAATCAAGAGGCATCTTCAAATCGCCACAGAACCAAACCTGCTTTCCCTGGGAGGGGGGTGGGGGGGTTCCTTTCCTTGGGCACTAGGACTCCCAAAGGCCAATGATCCCATGGCGCAGATGGAGGGCAAACGCTCCAACCATGGACTGTCAGGCGTTGGTGAAAGGAGATGTCACCCTCCCCTGTCCCTTTGTTGAGAGGTGGGGAAGAAGGAACCATACTGGCCACAGATTGAAGGGGTCTACCCACACCCCGCCCCCAGCGGCTCAGGCAGGAGAGGTCAGGGAAAGGTAAGTAAATCAATACACTTACCCCATTTCCAGCCCCCAGACCCAGAGACATGATGAGTGGTCTTTTCAGAGCAATTTCTCTGCATATTTGTACACCTGTCGGGCTTCGCACACTGATGGGGCCAGTCGCTGTTTTCCTTTTACCAAAATTTTTCTCCACGGCATGCGTCTGCCTAAAAATGGGTCTCAAGGGTTTTCCCATGCCCCTGCTCACGGCCGTCTGTTTAATGGGACTCCGGAGCATTCAGGTGCCAGACCCTATCTAGTGACTCCCTTGGCTGTGCATTTTGGGGATGCGGCATCCCTGGCTTTTATAAGTAATGTTGTAGTGGACAGGCTCCTATTTGCCTGTTTGC